TGCCCTTTTCTGGGCCACCTGCACGCCGGGGCAGTGGGGGGCTCAAAAAAAACCACCCCCAATGGCCTGGGCTCTGAGCCCAGCTCTAGGACTTACAACCTGGTGTCCTCAGACACAGCAGTGAAGCAAACACCCCGCTCAGCCAGGCTGGAGCTGGTTTTCTTCACAGAAGCCAGTGTGAGGCTGTGTTTTGGATTTGGGATAAGAAACTGTTGATAAGGTGCTGATGTTTTGGGTTGTTGCTGAGCAGTCAAGGACAGTCCAGCTTCTCGTGCTGGGCTGCCAGCGATCAGGCTGGGGGTGCACGGGGAGCTGGGAGGGGACACGGCCAGGACAGCTGACCCAGGCTGGCCAAAGGGATATTCCCTACCATCCGACGTCATGCCCAGTACGTAAACTGGAGTTGGCCGGGGGGCGGAAATCGCTGCTCGGGGACGGGCTGTCGATCGCCGCGTGGTGAGCAATTGCTGTATTGGGCATCACTTGTTCTTGTACATTCCTGTGTTGGTATGATTGTTGTTATCATTGTTGTTTCCTTCTCTCTTTCTGTCCTATTAAACTGTTTTTATCTCAACCCACGAGGTTTTTTTCCCCACTTCTCTCCCCGTCCCACTGTGGGAGGGGGAGTGAGTGAGCGGCTGCGTGGGGCTTAGTTGCCGGCTGGGGCAAAGATACATGTTTTTCAAGCAGTTACTTTTATTTAGGAACTCACACTGGGTTAAAGAAAGATAGTTAAAACGCAGTCATGGACAAAAAGTGTATTGTTGTAGTACAGGGTAAGTATAATACGTTACACAGGATGAGGTATTCTTTAATGTGCAGTTAACTAGTTTCTGTATTAAAGTAATGCCTACACAGTGCACTGTGCAGTGTGTTAATGCAGCTCGCTCTCTAGGGGAATGTGCACTGCATTATGTTTCTGGAATACCTTCAGATCTTAGTTTAATGATGAATGGCTCAGTAATATGTTCACAGGGTGATGCTTTGTGGCCATGCAGCTTCTCCTTCGCTGGCTGTGCAGTTTGCTGAGTGTCTTGACAACCAGTGCAGCATGATCCAACATATTCCCCAGTTTGACACCTAGCTCTGTGTATTGATTCTTTCTTCAGATAGATGAGAAAGTAGCTAAATCAGTGGGCCTAGCTTTCTTAAAAACCCGTGTTTATTCTCAGTTAAGAAACAATTTTGTGCAGACCTGTGTTCCCTCTGTTCTTCCTTTCTTAAAATGACTGCAGTTACGCCTGTCTCATCATATTTAAAGTGAAGGTGTCATCTGCACCTCTTAAGTATAAAACAGAAAATATTAGATTGTCAGTTGACAGCAGTTTAAAAAAATCCATGAAGCACTGGAGCATTATTAAGGATAGACAATGTTAGATGGCTTTGAGAGAAAACCTTGGATTCAGAGACCGTTCCTATGTCAAACTGGGAGTATTTTTAATGGGGAATAATTCCAGGAATGAATCATTTTAATGGTGTAGAAGGAAATCGTCGCAGTACATAGAAATGTAAGGGATTAATGAGGCTAATAATCTAGAAGTCATAATTACATAACATTTTGATTGTGAATCTTCTCTCTGGCAGCTAGGGACAAAGCAGGTGGCATTTTATGCTCTTACATATTACAAATGATAGTAAATTAGGGCTCTTACATATTACAAATGATAGTAAATTAGGAAAATGCGTTCTGTCGTATGAAGTCTTAAGCTGTATATAGAATAGCATGTTTACAGTACTTATGCTGTATCAAAAGAAGTCTCGCTTTATGAAAGGGAGTAGGTGGGCTTTTTGCAGATGAACAAAATTACAGACCTTCATGTGCCAAGGGCTGGAAAATAACTAGACAGTCAATCTGTTTATTTAAGACTCTGCATAACTGTAGATATCAAAATAAACACAAAAAAGGACACAAAAAAGTTAAAGCTACTTTTTGTCGTTGCTCTATCAACTCATGTGCAACCCTTCTTGGAGAACAGAATCAATTCTGGGCTTGTGTTCTGTTGTCATGGGGCCATATGGTTGGTAGCGCTTGATCATCTATTCCTCGATCAAATGTGGATTTTCTTTCCTTTTCCAAATGAGCTTGACTCCTGGTGCCCTAATATATTTACAATGTAGGTGTTGCATTTACTAGAAGACAAAACACAGGACATTGTATGGACAGACGTGATGCTTTTGAAACTTTCTGCAGAGAAGGTAAAATACAAGAAGATACACCAAGGCAATCAGTTTTCTAATAAGGAACGCTAAACAGCATTTAACACGTGTACGATATCACTTGGACATTGCAATGACCAGTAAATTCTCCCTGTGATTTTATTTTCCAGTCTAACCACACTGCAGATCTTGACACTGGCTCTGCTTTAGTCCTGACTATTGAAAGCACGTTAATCACTGCCTGCTCCTCAGAGTCTTTAGTTAGCAAAGGTCATTTTAAAAACTTCTGCATCCGCTTTGCTGATGGCTTTGAGACAAGCTGGGATGACTGGAAACCAGAAATAAGAGGAGATCTAGTCATGAATGCATGTAAGTGCATGTGATTTCATTGTGGACAATGGTATTTCAGATAGAAATCCACTTTTACCCTTTCCCATGGTTTCTAAAACTGCTAAACTTCCCCTCCCCAGAAGATAAAGAAAAGACCTTGGCCTTTCGAAAGCAAAATAGTATGGATCTAAAAGGTTGTATTCCTTTGTTTTTTTCGTTATTTATAACTTTGTTGCTCTATGTCTCGTTGTAAGCATTTAAGTTCTGCCTCAGAGATGTTGGAAGAATTTAATGTGTTGCTTTTATATAATTTCGTAAGATCCCAGTAATTTTTAAATAGTTCAATACAGATTATTTTCATTTTTATATATATCTTTCATTATGGTGAAGATTCTAGAATTTATACGGCATTTTAAGTTGTTACAAACTTCGATGTTAGCAAGTAGATTCGCTTTACTAAATAAGAGAAGTCATTAAATGGAAATTAAAACTAAACCTCCTATGCAACACCACTCATGCTTTAATTGTGGAGGGCAAGAGACTGAGGTGGAATTTGGAAGGGCTGGTCTAAAGCACCTTTGACCGTCTGCCTAATCAGTGTATGTGCTTCATATGTTTCATATAGGTGTTGTGCCAGACGGTACATATGAAGTATGTTCTAGGACAACAGGACAGGCTGCGGCAGGTAGTATACTTTTTTTAATAAATTGAGTCCTATATGAATAAAGCATTTATAAAATATGAAATTTAAATCCTTTAACTGTGTTGTAATTTAATTGGTGGTTTGGTTTTTTTGTTTTGCTTAGTATCTTGTTTGCCAGGTTTTGAGTCACGTTAGCAACACTGGTTTTGGGTTTTTATCTGCGGAAAAACGCATGGTGTATATGTGTTTGTTCCTTGGTTGGAGAATAACCCTTTATAACAGCAATGTTGTCCTACTGCTTCCTGTCTGAGACACTACTAAATCTTGCAGTCTTCCTAATGCCGAGACTTTGCATCCTGAGCTCCCATTCCTCCCTCACCTCTTCCAGAGACGGTTTCTATTCTTCTCAAACTCCTTCTTTTCCCAGCCTTTCCTACTGAGTTGTTCGGATGTTCTCCAGAGGCCTCAAAATACCTGGCACGCTCTGTCTTGGTCATCATACCTGCTGCTTGCTACTTCTCATCTGTTTGCCCAAATGTTGCATCTAGGTGTCTTCTGTCCCCGTAGTTTTGCTCATTGTCCCTCGCTTGGGGTTTTTTTTTTTGCGCTGAGGGAGACATAAAAATTAAACAGATGCTGCAACTATTAAAAATTTATCTCATGTGGAATTGTGAATGGAGAAAAGCAGGATGCATCCCTTCAGAAGGAAAAACAGTATCTTGTGTAGTTCTGCTTAAAGTAAGTGCTGTATTTTGGTGCTGAAAGGTGGCACTCATTAGAAAAATCCTGGGAAGACATGGTAGTCAGTAGGCCCATTACACATATATTATAACAACTTCCAGAATCATTATTCATGACTTGAAAGTGTAAATAGGCCAGCATTTTTACATGCAGATGGACGTCCTTTAGGTTTCTTGCTGTTAGAAATCCTGTTCTGGAACAGCGGACTTGGCTGCGATCGTGAGAGCTGAAGTTCGAGATGCTCTGTCTCCTGGTCATCAGCTTGGCTGAAGGGAATGTATTTTCATTAGGTTTGTCTGTGTACCTCTCTTGTTAAAGAAGTATTATCTTCATAGCTGCAAAGTACTTCTAGCAAGCATTTCCGTTGTGGAATATGTTTTCCTCAGACTTGGCAGAAAAGACAGTTCTTCGTAACTGATAAACACTGTTTTGGCCAACTAATACATAACTCAGGATGGAGGATTTTTAAAAAGAGGAAAAACTGGTTAAACTTTTTTTTTTTTGATACAGAAAGTAGTAGTGCAGGAACCTGGACACTGAATGTGTTATGGAAGATGTGTGGTATTGATGTCCACATGGATCCAAACATCGGGAAAAGACTGAATGCTTTAGGCAACACCCTCACAACGTTGACGGGAGAAGAAGATATTGATGATATTGCTGATCTCAATTCTGTAAACATAGCTGACCTTTCAGATGAGGATGAAGTTGACACAATGTCTCCCACTATACATGCGGTAAGTGAATCAACCAAAATAAGTGCTACTAATTGGAAAAGGCCTGACAAAGTCTTCAGTCAAATGGAAAGATCGTAGTCTTGAGTCCAGCATGCTACTCCTTATAGCTCGTATAACTCCTGTTGCAAATCAAAAAAGTTTGTGTGTTAGTTTTATAACTCCATATTTCAAAGGCAAGAAATCACAGATCATATTTCTGCTGGTGTTACGTGGAAATATTGATCTGGATTTGAAAATATGAAGATACAACACCTAACTTCAGGTACCTGAATTGGAAAATCTGTGGTTGTAGATAGGTTTTCTTAACAGGAGAGTAAATTACTAACATGAGCAAATGAGAAAAAATTATTTTTCGGTACTCTTACCCAATATGCTGCTGACCTTGCTTTGTGGTTTCCCATAAAAATGTTTTAGCAGATGTTCTTTAGTGGCTATCTTAAATGCAGTGAAAACATTATACCAGAACACTAATGTTCCTGTTTGTTGTTTAGAAATCAGGTGGAGGTTCTTTATGTGGAGATGCACGCAAGCTAACATTTGGGCAGCGGATTGTAAATCACCTGCTGGGTTTGAGCCCCCCAAACCACCGATACTCTGTTCCTGTAGAATATCTATTGGGGTCAGCGAAGTGTGATTCTCTTCAGTCTAGCAGATCACATATGAAAGCAGGCAGATCCTGCTCATGGGGACATGTATGTAGTAGTTAACAGTGTGTCTTAACTGAATGATGGGGTTTGGATCACTGGAAAAAATCCAATCAACTGCCTTTTGAGATGAAACTGATTCTTTTGCATGCACGAGTCCAAATTTTAAGGTGTGAAATTCACTGTGCCTATTGTTAAATCGCACTAATGTCCAAGTTTTGACGAGGGCATTAATGAAGTGTTTATTTTAAATAGGAGATTGTTGATCACCGACGGCAGGGAGCTTCTAGTATCCAAACTGGAGAACAGCGAGGAAGAAAATTTGTGAAACGTTTAGTCGATATTAGAGAGCTCAATGAGCAAGCTAAAGTTATTGACGACTTAAAGTAAGTTGAGTTTTGCTTTAACTCGCACAGACTTTGGGAATAACAAACTGCAGTTGACTTTTTTTCTTTTCTGTTCTTACCACATATCTTGTCGCGTTGTGATGGTCAAGTGGAAATCGTTGTCTATTTAAAAATAAAAAATTGTCCTTTTGGATTCCATAAGAAAAAACTATATATATGCAAATACTCTCACAAATTTCTCAAGCTCTTACCCAAGTGTCAAATTAGTCTATATATTCTTTCTGGTTCTGCATTATAATGGCTGATTATAATCAATTTCTTACTGATTCAAAATCGTAGTTACATCTTGATTTATTATCATGGTGATACTTTAACAGAATATATTACTTTGTAACTGTAATAAGCTTAGTCTCAATCACTGGAAGAAGAAGAAAAATACTGAAATCGACTATTTTTGCATCTTGTAGGTGATATTTTAAAATTAAATCTCCTATGCTGTACTTGAGAAAACCCTGAAGAAAGAATTATTTCAAATTTCATAAGTTTCACCTGAACTTCTGTGAATTTTATTAACATATTTTTTTTTGCAGTCATGGTTTGTTGGGCTTGCTTTTTTTTTTTTACCCTCTTCCCTAACACAGACTTAGTATAAATGGATCTGTGTGGGATGGGAATACAAAGCTTGGCAATTATGTGTTAAATAAAAACGAGGAGACAGGTTTTACTGCTTGTACTTGGAATAAAATTGCGTTCACCATCCAGAGGGCAATTATATCTGATTTTAGGTTAAATGGTTCTTCTAATACAAGTTCAAGAATCGAAGTTATGTTTTGTGCCTGCTTTTTCTCAGTCTAGGAATGCTTCAGTAAACTGTGATTCTTTCAAAATAGCAGTTGCTTTGCAGAGTGTTTTTTAAATTATTTAGTGCTGTGTTTTTTCTGCGGAAGGTAATCTGCTGCAGAACGCTGGCACTGATGTGACAGGGCTTTGGACTGTTACAGAAGGAGGTTTTTTCTTCATCCTGCTGGGGATTCTCAGATATGCCCATTGTGTTTGTTTTTAATTAAACAGCTGTCATGTGATTGAAAGTGTATAGGAGGTCCTTAATCTGGTTGTTACAACAAGGGCTTTTTGAAACAAGGGAGTTGCTGCATAGCCATTCTTATTCTCCGCCTTCGCTAGCATCATGGTAGCACTGTTGTTTGGGGGTCTCCTTGCACACTAGTTTGTTCTACATCCTCTATCTGCTCTGGGAAGTCACTTGGAGACAGAAACCTTACAATCAGAGAGTCCTCTTAAGGACAAAAAATTATGACAAAAAGTTGTATCATGAAACAAGAATAAATCTTCTGCAGCTATATTTGTCACTGGTCGTAAGTATCTACTGAAAAAAATGAGAAAAGGGGATAATTCCTAGGGAAAGTAGAACATCGTTGCAACAAAGATTTTGAAATGGTGAAAATCATGTCACCTATTTGTAAGATTAAGATAACTCAACCATTATTTATTCCCAGAAAATTAGGTGCCAGTGAAGGAACTATAAATCAAGAAATTCAGCGCTATCAGCAACTGGAGTCGGTGGCTGTGAATGATATCCGCCGAGACGTTCGTAAAAAGCTACGTAGATCCAGTATGAGGGTGAGCAGTGTTAAGTTACATTAAAAATATGGTAGCACTTGTGTTATGTATTTCTTTTCTGCATGTTGATTAATACAAAGAAAATATTAGTAATGGAAAAGGAAGGTTAAGAATATCAAATAGTTCAGCAACCCCTTTACCTTTAGGAGGGGGCCGGGAAAGGTTTTTTTTTTGCCTTGTAATAGTGGTGATAGAAAAAGGGAAATTTCACAGATACTATAACATAAATGGGTTTATTTGCACACTGACAAGAAACAGTCAGAAAAATGTGTATTTGAAGATGTCATTTACTCCTCCTTTCTGCTGCTTTTAAAATGATTCCTTATTGGACTGGTGAATGCAGATGCAGAGGCAAGCACGTTAACTGCCTGGGCAAATGATAGATACCTGTTGTATTCCACTTGGCATGTGCGCTTTCTATAAGTGCGTTCTATATATAAACATACAGTATATTTGCAGAGTTAGGTGATGTAAAAATAAAAACAAGCTACTGAGCATAGACATTGGAAGAAACTGGACAAAAAACAAGCAGTGTTGCTGGTAATCCACAAACATATGTGGCTGTTGTCCCAGACCCCGATAACGAACCTGGCAAAAGGTTATTTTCAGTGTGTCCTAGTGCACGAGCTCCAAGTGTGATGCTTCATTAATAAGAAAAGATCTTTCAAATAGTAATCTGTCTGCAGCTCTTTCTCAGGTGCTCTCATTTAAGCTCATGTTCTTCTGTTATTGTGGCAGTAGCTAGGAAGGATGTCTGTTGAAGTGCTCAGATTATTAGCTTTGGGTATACTTTTCTCCCGGCAAGAGGACATTAACAGTTCCAGCAAGTATGAAAAGTGAACATGTATCCAGAGGCAAGATGAAGACACTGGCAAATGCTGCTAAGAGATGCATTTTAGCTATTATGGAACAAAAACTTTTTACTTTACTGGCATACCTGTGTAAAACAGTATTTTAGCTTGCCAGAGTTTTTCTCCGTGTTCTCAGTTGTTGCATTCTGTGATTTAAATACTATTTCTGTTTTAGGCTGCCTCATTGAAAGACAAATGGGGTCTCAGCTACAAACCCAGCTATAGCCGATCTAAGAGTATTTCAGCATCAGGAAGACCACCTCTGAAGAGAATGGACAGAACAAGGTGAGCTTCTGGGAATCTGAGATCTGTGATGGCAACAACAGCATGTGTGACAGAGGAAACATTGAACTTTGGCCCTAAAAGCCCTTTTACTGTAGGCAACGGCTATGTGTGGTGGAACTGGATAGGAGGAGGTCATTTTGGGAGACAGGCATGTTCTAAAAAGCAACTTTTCGCCTTTTTTTTTGAAATTTCTTTTTTGACAGATGTAGTAGTATGTCAAATGAGAAGTTTTCACTTCTACAACGACTTAGGGTTTTCTACAGAATCCTGCTTTCAAGACATACTGAAGAAACGTATCTAAGGAAAAATAGCATAGTGTAATTACTTAGATTTCGACACTTGACTTGCAATCATCTGCCTTAAAAAAGGGCTGTTATAATGAGAAGAAAAGGAGAATTTTTTTTTTTTTTTTTTTTTTGGTGAATGATAGTTTTCTTTTAATCTCTTCAGGTGTATAATGTGTGTTGGTTTTGTTTCATTATGTAATAGCTGCTGAGCAAACTGTAGTTGTGTAATGATGCCTCCTAGTGAAGTGTTTGCTTTGGGTTTAGAATACATGTGTTTGAGTCTATTGTTCCTGTAGATCCAGCCAAAGCATTTGAAGTTTGGAATTAAAAATGTGCTGCATTATTATGTATTAAATATAAAAGATTTGGAAAATAAAAAGGTGGAAAGGAATGTTAGACTTCTTTGGACTTTTTTCTATGAGAACAGATATTCTTAATAGAAATTTGCTTCAATTTTGAATACTTCTGTAGAAGTGAATGGAACTTTATAAAAAATCCGGATGTGAAAATACCGGATAGCAGATATTCCAGGATAAAAACAGCTTTAGAAGTACTCTAAAGTGAATTTTTCAAGACACGCGAGAAAAGGAATCTTTCTTCTGAAAGAATTAGCATTCTTGATAATTAAAGCAGAGGAAGCGTTGAAGGCATGAACATTCTAGTTCAAGATCTGTCAGATGAAAACCACTTTCATTTTATCTTTTCGCAAGGTTATCTGAATAGAACCAGAAATTGTATGGAAAAGATAATGGGGCTTTTCTGTTGCCATATAAGAAACACAAAGTTCTGAAAAACTTAATGAGTACTTTGGTTGTGAATGAAAAGTAGTATGCATATACTATAAGGCCAAATAATTCATATCAGTTGCATCAGAGAATACATAATCTGCCAACTTGCTTTATGTCCCATGTGGTAGATGACAAATATCTTAATTTTCTACAATTTCTGCATCTTGGCTCAGGACTGAAAAACTTGCATAAAGAAATAAGCAGAGAATGCCTTGTGATAGCCTACTGGTCAAGTAATGTGTAGCTTCCTTCTCGTTCCTTCTCCCCCTCCTTTTTCCTTTTCATGTACCCTAAGTGCTTCAATTACGATTTTCTACTTTATCCCATAACAAAATCATTACGTTCTGACTGTATTTTTTTTTTAATTGCCTTATATTTGTGTTGTTAAACGTTTGCATGAACGTAAAATCCTGCAGTAAAACTCAACAAACTGTTGTGTTTTGGTTTTGCTTATAGCTCTCGACTAGGAGACAGTGAAGACCTCCCAGATATCCGTGTAGATGCTGCATCTCCTGGGCCAAGAGTAACTTTCAACATACAGGATTCTGTAAGAATTACTTGATATGCCATATAATTATATTTCCTGTGCCATTTGGTCACAAGTTCATGAGATGGGTATACGTAGGCAGACCTGAATTGCTTGTATATTTTTTATGTGTCTACTTCTGTTAGGGTGTGCCTCAAATTATGGATGGGTTTTTGCAAGATAGATTTGTTTTGGTAGAAGATAGGTGTGTTTTGGTTTCTTAACTGAGAAATTAATCAAATCATTAGAGAAAATACTTGAAAATGTTGGGGTTTGGGTTTCTTTTTAGGCTGACACAGTAGTAATACAATTGCTTTGGAATTTTTATTAGAAGTGTGCAAAAAATCATCTAGTATTTTTTGTGTTTAGATAGATTTAGAGTTTTGGAAATGGGCATTAGTGTGCTGTAGCCCTACAGGTATATCCTTCTATGTGTTTGAAATGCATTGTTGAGTTTTTGGGTTTCTTTGTTGCTATGTTTTCTCATTTTTAAAATGTTGCTATTATGTTGTTTTTGCATGGCTAAGATTATTGTAAGTGTTTTAATTTTTTTTTTTTTCCCCCCCACTTCTAATTAAGTTGAATAAAACAGCTTTGGGGATTGCACAACAATCCAGCTGTCCAGGGGAAGGGTATTTTCAGGTATTTCTGAGAAGAAACAAGTATTCTTTGCAAGAGAACTAATCTATCTCACAGGGAGCTGCTTTTCAATGTTTCATCTCTTTTGCACTCAGCTAAACAGAATGTATCTCAAATTTGAAAATATTTAAAGTTGAATAAGTAAAGTAAGCAGAAGAACATCATTGGTTGTTGATGAACTTCACAGAGTGTTTCTACACCTTTATGTAGACCTAAAACTTGCCAGTGTTGTAAAATGAATTACTGGAATTTTGTTTGTATAGTTACGAAGACTGATCAAGGCTGATGTAGAGTGACGTAAGTCTAGCCTTGAAATGTGCTTTAAAAGAGGATTTTAGTGTGTGTGCCTTCATCTGTTACATTGTGTTCCAAGATTGCAGACATCAAAACCAGTACAAAATAATTGCTAGATGGGAGGACATCTTATCACACTTTTACTTCTGTTGGAATTCCTTTATTTAATGAAGAGTAAAGACATTTTCAAGTAATACTGAATAGGGAATGTGCCAAAACTGAATACACAGAGAACAAATGGTGGAGTTTTTTAACCGTTTTGAAAAATATGTTTTGGGAAAATAGTAATTTTTTTTTTTCTTAAAAAAATGCAACCAAAAGCAACACAAAAACAAACAAAAAACCAAACTCAAGAGATAGTAATGTACTTTTTCTCTCTTCCAACTAACTTCACATTCCCAGGAAACATCTCTATTTCTGAGAAAGAGAGATGGAAATGAAACATAGAAATGTGCTTTGCACATTTAAATATGCTCATGCTTAAAAGCTATCCTACCGTTGTTGTTGTTGTTATATATAAGCCCAGTTAGCTTAAGTTCTGTTGGCGTAGCAAAATGCTAACACTTAGAGGTGTCAACTGTTGACTGTTAAAAAAAAAAAAATCTCACTGACGTTATCGTGCCAGTTCTTCAGCAGAGCTCTAATTTGAATTTGCAGAAGACGAGTGTGTAGCTCTATAGTAACAGTGCGTAGGTAGTGCTGGTGTTAAACTAACGCTTCCAGACATTTTTCACAGGCATTTTAAGAAGTTAGTGTTCAAAAAGTGCTTGTGTGGCGCTTGTGGTGTGCTTCTTGTGAGAACCAGGAGGCCCCTTTTGGAAGGTTGGCCTGGAGTTTGTTTCGTGTTAAAGCACGGGTACCCAAGAGCGCGGCCCAGAACCGCAAACCGGTGCCGTACATTCTGTGTTAGCGTTTGCATGCACGCCTCACTAATGCTCCTGGGTGCCTCACCCCTCTACAAGGTTCGTGGTGATTTTTGCTGTCTTTCGTTCTTTGCTTTCAAAATGTTTTTTAAATTTAAATGAAGTGTTTCCATTCCTTCTGGTCCTGCGAATTGGTCAGAGCATGATACGTATTTAGCTAACAGACTGAGCTCAATCGCTAGGCAATGGCAAATGTCTCCAACCAAGCTTTCATTTCTTTCTTTTTCATAATCCATCTGCAATTACTACACCTGCTGTCTCTGTATTATGAGGAACTTGGGAGTGAGAGTTTCTCATGGCACTCTTGCTTTTTTATTTCCAGAGCTATCTAATGCATTCTCAATGGAAACGATATCTGTGGAAATTTAATATCTCTTTGTCTTTTTATAATCAGTTTCCAGAGGAGACAGAAATGGACCTTTTGTCTGTAACTATTGATGGTCCCTCCCATTACTCATCTACTAGTGAAGGCTCATGCTCGGTATTTGGTTCACCCAAAACTCCAGTAGTCTTCTCACCCGGCATTCCCTTCCAGCCTGAAGAAGGACGCCGGGATGACAGCTTATCATCAAGCAGTGAGGACTCTGAGAAGGAGGATGACCATGAAAGAGAGAGGACGCATTTTTATAGGAAACCACCGTAAGTAACGTTCTTAAGGAAGAACACAGAAACTAAGAAAAGACACTTGGAATACTGACTGTAAAGCTACAAAACCTGTTGCTGATGAAGGACTGAATTTTGCCTGAAGTGTGTATGTGGAAGGCAGGGGAGGTTGTGTTCGGCAGAGGTGACTGTGAGGGAAGGAGGAATTCTGATCTGAAAAGGAGGCAACTGTTAGAAATTTCAGGGCTTGGAACAGAATGAAAGAACTTGGAAAGTGAGGTTTTTGAGGCATGGGGCAGGTTTTAGTGGGACCAAATGACAGATTTGTCAAATACAGCATAACTGTTAGTTTTATCCAGTGATTCTATATCCACAAAATACATGTGATAATGAAAATATTTAAAAATATTAAAATTATTGTATCTATCTTTTAATTCCTTTTCTTGATTGAGAATTTAAGAACGGCTTAGTTCTTTGTAGTACCTTATACTAAGAAAGGATACTTAGTAACGTGTTAATGGAAGATGGATCACTGTTTTGCTGTGTATCAGATAAGGCCTCTTCCAGAAAAGTTCTTAAAAGATTATATGCTGAGTGTGGACATAGTCTAAGAATGCCTGCTACTATCTGTTCAGGTAAATGTCATGCTACTGTCTAATCCACAATTGTGCCTGTGCAGGAGTACCTCTCGCAAGAAAGCAACAGGCTTCGCTGCCGTCCACCAACTGTTCACTGAGCGCTGGCCAACAACACCTACCAACAGAAGCGTGACTGGCACAACCACAGAGAGAAATATTGACTTTGAGCTTGATATCAGGGTTGAAATTGATTGTGGAAAATGTGTACTGCACCCTACAATGCTTCAGCAAGAACATGATGACATTAGTTTACGAAGGTAAGAAACGTGTTATTTGATTGCCTTGTGAAGAACAGGGTATGAGTACTTTATTCTGCTTTAGCTGTTAAGTCCATCTGATACTTCCATCACTTGTTATGACTATATGCACAATAATTAATGATTCTTAAGCACTGACCTGTTTGAAAAGCATAGGTGTATGCGTTAGTTTAACTTCATTCCTAGCAATTATCCCTACTTCATAGCATCACCATTGAGTCGCAATTGTTATGGCTGAGTATGGCATGGGGAGTTGCGTTTGTTTAGCAAGAATCAGCATGTGCCTCACTTCTGGTTTTATTTTTTACATCCCATTTTATCTTTCATAAACAAAATCTTAGGCTTTCCAAGCACTTGGATTACTTTTCTTCAGCCTCCAAAGAAGTAACTTGACAACTTAGTGAATTCACATAATGGTTTGACTAATAGTGGGCTGCTGTTGTGTTTTCTCATTATCTCTGAGGGCTGCTCTTATTTTCTGAGTGTAAAAGCATGCTGATATTTTGTATCTGTCTTAATAAAAGTATCATCACCATCATCATCATCTGAGGTGACAGAAGTGCTTTACTTCTGATCTTAATGAGGTCTGATCTCATTCTCAGTTTTTAAATTCTCTCCTTTTTTCATGTGTATGTGATTGGGAATCTAATGGCAGAGTTACATTACTTTTTAAAATTTGATATGTTGTTAATAAAATTGTGAATTTTAAGAAACATACTTGTCAACAGAGATAATTCTTCATAAGTATAGTATAAGGAAATGAGATTTACTTACTTTAATTGTAAGAAATAGGAACAAATGAGAAATTCTTACTGAGAGGTCTTCATTGGAAATCTGTAATTAGAAAGCAATTTGGTTTCTGTCTTTCTAAGACACTTTTTTCTAAGAATTGATACAGAAGGGAAAAGAATCTCTTAAGAATTTGTATGAAGACAGGCTTTACAGCAAAAAAGGAAAATTGCTAAGTGTTTTCTGCATATCAAGGAGTTTTCGCAGATCGCGTTGTGTAATGTGGATGAACTTGACTGTAAGAGTACGGAGCATTGGAGTGATTTTCTCTAATGACATAACAATAATTTTGTAGATTTTACTGCCTGAAATAATCACATAATGAAAACAGCAAAACCAGAGCAGGATGACAAAAGGGGAGTAGAGGTCACAGAAAGTAAAGACTAAAGCAAAGACTGAATTGCTTCCTCATATAGTTGATACTACAAATCTGTTTTAGACATCTCTAGGTCTTTTAATACTAGAAAATATACTCTTACGAGTATTAAGCTTGTTTTAATAACATGCAGTGTATTTATTCTAGGAGTTATGATAGGAGTTCCAGAAGTTTGGATCAAGAGTCTCCTTCAAAAAAGAAGAAATTTCAAACTAATTATGCATCTACTACTCACTTACTTGCTGGCAAGAAAGTGCCGTCATCTCTACAGACAAAATCTAGTGATGTGGAAACAACTGTGTTTTATATTCCTGGGGTGGATGTAAAGGTAAAAAGAGTGTATAACTCATCAGGGAAACACTTGCTCTTTCTTTATGCTCAAATGTGATTTCAAAGCAAATACACTGTTATAGCATGTACAAGTTCATAAATACAGAACACCTCGGGAAAATCTTTTTTCGGTTCTGTAGATGCTGCTAAAATAGGAATAATGATTTCTGTAATACCACATTGGAAACTGATAGATGCTTTTACCCTCATTTTCTTAAGGGAGGGAAAAACCCAAAAGTTCGTATGTACCATCAAAAACAGAGCTATGCCAAATGACGCTCCCTAACAAAACAGTGTATGTGATATTACATAACGAAAAGAAATCAGTGCCGTTAACATTTTGGTGTCCAGAATTAGACATGTGGTTTGGATACTTTCTTCTCTGACAAGTAGTTTACATTGTATGCCCTTTTTAAATAAAGGAAAATCTGTTCCCTGTCTGTAATTCATGGGAAGGGCAGCTTAGTAGTTGGCCCACTAACACGTAAAGCTTTCTTAGTGTGTCTTCTGTGTTGCTTATTATGGCAGTCAGAGTCTTGGTATAAACACTGTTTTTTTTAAGACAGTGTTCTCTCAAACACCATCAAACTGTACACTCCCCTGTTTGTTTGTTTTTTTTTTTTTAATCATTGTTTCTATATCCTAGTAAGAAAGGGTCTCAAAAGAAACGTTCTGGTATTTGTGATTTGAAATCCTGTGGAGTAAGAAGAGGAAAAACAGGTCACTGCTGCATGGAAACTTCATGCAGTTCATTTGAGGCAAGGCCATAAATCAAATGCTCTTCACTTGGAACAACCTGGCTTTTCTGGTCTTTCCATGTGGAAGGGCTATGTGTATCCATTTTCCAGTATTCCAGGCTGTCTTCAAGGATAACAGCTGCCTGTTGCTTTTAGTCAAATTTAGGAATAACTAAACATCCTCTATAGCTTTTGTTATGTCCTTTACTTTCATTGGTAGTGTGTTATGCTCATAGAGGAGGTGTCATTTTATTATTTATGCAACTTTCTGTATGCTGGTGTTTAGTAGTGGAATAGTTCCACTGTGCAGTAAGACAGAAAGCAAGCTATGCGGACAGGGACGAATAGTTGGTGGCACAGGATGCGGACAGTGTAACGGAGCGGAGGAGCAAGCTTTAGGCATTGTTCCTAAGTAGTTAATTTCCTCTGTTTCTCTGTGTTTCCTTGATTATTTTTTTAAAGTTTATTAATTTATCTATGTTTTTGTAAAAATATTTCAGATCTTTGTGCCCCAGCTATATCTACAGAATGTGAATTGGAATGTAACATACCTTACAATGATATTTTTGTAAATAATGAAAAAAAAAATTTTTAAGGGAAGGAGCGACACCAAACTGCTGTGTAGAACTTGAGCTACTTGTGTGGAGTAAATTGATCTTTCTCTGCTTTCCAGTTGCACTACAACTCTAAGACTTTAAAGACTGAATCGCCAAATACTTCTCGAGGATCCTCTTTGCCAAGAACCCTTTCCAAAGAGTCCAAGCTGTATGGTATGAAAGATACTGCCACATCTCCTCCTTTATCTAGCACTATCCACAGCAAGACTAACACCTTACTTCCTCCCCAAACCCCACCCATCCCATCAGGTACTTATAGGCAGTAACCTTCTAAAACTGTCATGGGTATATATCTTTCCTTCATGTAATCTACTAGCTTTAGATCTGCCTGCATATTACCTGAAGCACTGTATTTATCAAGTCTTAACTTTTGCTGCAGAAACCTGATCCCAGAAGCATGAATTTAGTTCATAAAGCTGCATTTTTAGAAATCTCTTGCCAAACCAGTCTCAGTAATTTGTCATAGTCACCATATCCCAGGGATGGGCTGCCACTGCCTTCTCCCTGTTTTCATTTAACAAAATAATGCTTATTACTGGAAAGTGAAGTTTAAGTATCTGTATAAAAAGCAAATGCTGACTGCTTTATTCTTCATAATCCAGGAAAAAAAATTCAGGTGAATTGTTGCTTCCATACATTACACTATTGAAAGAATACCTTCAGCTTTCAAGTGCCTTCTGCCGCACAAGTAATGCATAAATTATTGCTTCCTGGAATCGGGTTATTTCTTGTAATACTGAAGCAGCTGTTTAGACATATTTGTATTAATCAAAATACCAGACTACTGTCCTCAACTGCTGCAGACCCTTAAATAACCATGACTTGGAGTAACACGAGGTCTAATGCTTTATCTCCAATGATTCCTGTTTTCAAGCAGGAATCTGTTGTTACATCATGTCAGATCTAGAGGTATGTAGATTGCACCTCCAACTTCCAGACATTCACTCTTCTCTCCTTTGGCATTTGACTATCACTTTAAAAACAGCCAAAATTTTGTCAAAATTTGGTGAGCAAGCAAAATTAATAACTGAAAAAAGGTGTGTGTGTGTGTATTTGTTTTTTGGTTTTTTTAATAAAACCAGCAGAGATGCTGGGAGAGAACGATGAAATGGGGACAACTTCTTCAATTTTGCTGAACCATTAGCTCTTACTCCTTTAAGTGTCCATCCTCTTTATGATTACCAACTGCTTTGTAATCTTGGTTTGTAATCCTTTTCTTCAATTTTGTTCTGCATTTTCCTATCCCTTTTCCAATCTTTGCCTTTAAATTTTTACCATGTCACGTCCAGTTACTGAATCTTGTTTTCATGTCTGTTAGCTGTACATTTGGCGGGGGGCTTACGGAAATCGCATTTGTATGATAATATAAATGTCTCCCCAAACTAGGCATTGCCATTACTGATAATATAAATGTCTCCCCAAACTAGGCATTGCCATTACTATATTTCTTTATGTATTGTATTTTTATAAATATTTATTAGTTCTGAATTGTTTTGAAACACATTTATTGTTATTTATATTACTTTTTTAATATTGCTTCTCCTCTGAAATGGAAACCACCTTGTCTTACTGGCTTTGGTCTCCAGTAAGAGCAAGATAGGACAATCTAGTCAGAGGCACTGGACAGAACAGTTTGCATAGAATGAAAATTCAGTGCTTAGTTTTTTTAGCTAATAAAAGGATTTTTAAGCTACGTTTTAGTTGTTTAGTTAATGTTTCTATTTTTCTTGGAGAGTTTAAAATCAGTGTTGTCTTTTATCTCTATTCATTCAAATATCTGTAATTCGTAGAGACAGTAATTGAGCTGGTACTGATACCTTCTGTGCATACTTACAGTTTGGTGAGCGCGGATCCGAGTGCTAGCCTCTTCCACAGATCTACAAGACAACAGTCTTTTTCTTAGTTTATACTCGGGCTAGCTCCAAGCTTTTAAAAACACTGATTTAGAATCTTTACTTAATCTTTGCATAAATATCATAGGACTTGCCATTTACAGTTTTAATTTTTTTGGTGTATTTTCTCAGTTTAAACTGACATTCTTCCCAGACTCATGTATTTATTTTTCCTAATTCTGCTGTCATTTCCAGTCAGCTGTGGTTACTTTGCATTGTGTATTAGGAGAAGAATTGTGTGTGTGTGTCTGATTTCAGCGCTATTTTTTAAAAAGCGAAGTGGTGACAATGACGTAGGAGTGCTTGGTCAAGAACGTGCACAATGGAATTACAATCAAGCATGACAGACTAATAGTTGTTTCTGCATAGTTTTCTTAGTGAAAACTTATGGCTTAATTTCTTCTAACCCATCTGATTTATGCCTTTTCTGATGATGAAACAGAGAATTAGAGGAAACAGCTGTTAGTTATGAAGTATCCTCTAATGGTTATCAGTTGAGAGGTATTACATTAGACAAATTTCTTTTTTAAATGTTGCAGCCAAAGGAAAAGGAAGTGGTGGAGTGAAAACTGCTAAACTGTATGCATGGGTTGCACTCCAGTCGTTGCCGGAGGAAATGGTGATTAGTCCATGCTTACTGGACTTCCTAGAGAAAGCTCTTGAAACCATTCCCATTACACCCATCGAAAGGAATTACACAGGTAAGTTGCATATTTGTATTCCAGTACTCTATGCTTTCTCTCTTTCGTCTTCTAGTGGCATTGAGCTGCTCTTCCCTTTTAAATTCCACTTTCTAATGAGTTCTCGTACTTCTTAAAAGCTGTTAGTTCACAGGATGAAGACATGGGACAATTTGATATACAAGATCCCTTAGAAGAGTCCACAACGTCATTAGTATCGTCCTCGACATCAGCATATTCATCCTTCCCTGTAGATGTGGTGGTTTATGTACGAGTTCAGGTGAGGTTTTAACTCAACATTCAGTATAGTAAGTAAATTCAGTCACAGTCTTTGAGACAATCCATGCTTCTAAATTTGCGTTTTAAAAAATATAAAAATATTTCTAAGTGTCCTTTCTGAGATACTAATGTGTAGTATGGTAGATGATAAACGTCTAGTGCCTAAGATGATAAAATAGGACTTATTTCAGCAGAAGTTCTGACACATTTTAATCCCATGGAGACCAAAGAAATGATTTTGAAAAGTCACAAAAGTTCTGAGCATTTTTAATCACTACTTCTTCCTTGTCTCTTTTTGACTTTTTTGAAAATATCTATCATAACTAGTATTTCTATCCCTTGCTTATAGGTACCATTGCAAAACAAAAGTAATAATTGAAGATCTTCTCAGTTTTTATGGAAAATGTAGGAATGTACAGTTATCATTCTACAAGGCATTATTCATACTGCTCAATATTCCATGTGTCTGGACTTTTTATATGTGAAAGAGAGAGAAGTGCTACCACTGAGTGATTCGGACCACTTGAGCTTGATCTGAACATTGCTATTATATTTTTCCACTTTGCTCAAAGATTATTTTTTTTTTTTCTCTTGGTATAAATTTGATTATGTTCCCAAATTGAGCAACGTATTCTAACATATGCTTTCTTTTTTTTTTATGCCTATGAAAATTAACCACAACGATCTGTAGCCTCTCTCAGCTTTTACTTGCAAACTCATTTGGCCAAGAATGTGTTGAGGGGAGCTGAGGCTTTCAGCATCAGCTCAAGTGATTCTGCATACTTCTCGCATGAGATGAGCTATGAATTGACTAGGGGAGGAGGAAGACAGGGGGGTGGTGTACACATCCTCTGCTGCATCCAGGCTTCCTGTGTCCAAGTTCTCCAAAAACTAGTCCATATAATAACCCTGGTGTTGGAGGGCTTGAAACTAATCCATCTATATCAACTTGTATACAGTTATCTCACTAATTCTAAAATGCATCGGGAAAGGATGTAATTTGCTTAGATTTAAAGAATAAATACTTAGAACTTTATAAGCCAAATTCAGGATATGTTTAGTGTTTCATATTTGTTCACCGAATGCTTTATTTTCTTGCTGTCTTTCAGCCCTCTCAAATCAAGTTCAGTTGCTTGCCCGTATCAAGAGTTGAATGTATGCTGAAGTTGCCTTCCTTGGATCTTGTTTTCTCTTCAAACCGAGGAGAACTGGAAACATTAGGCACAACATACCCATCAGAAAGTTTGTCAATCGGTGGCAATACTTCACAGAGTGGCTCAAAGAATTCAGTTAGTAAATCTGGAGCACCAGGTAATATGTATATGAATATCTATACTCTATACAGCTTGTAGCATAAATAAATACAATGTTCTGTTGTCTAAAATTAGAGCAGAAGATCAGCTTTTACAAACCTTAGACATTTATGTATTAGTGAGTTCAGTAGGATTTCTTCATGTTGTATCAGTTTCCTGTAAAAGCTTGCACAGATACAGTGTATTGAAGTTTCTCTTGCACTGGTTAAGAGACTTCAGTTATCTCTTAGAAAAGGCTGGCATCAATACATAGAATATTTAAGCTACGTTGCTGCTACAGTGGCATAATTTGATATGCATTTGGTCTGTTTAATACTGCTGTTAACAGTATTATTTCACATTTGAAAATGCTTTCATGCTAGAACTAACTTTTGCCAAAAAAAAATTGTGACTTCAGGTTCATCACCTGGACTAGGCAGCCCTCTTGGCAGAACACGGCACAGCAGCAGTCAGTCAGACTTGACTACTTCTAGTAGCAGCTCTTCCGGCCTGAGCTTTACCGCCTGCATGTCCGACTTTTCCCTTTACGTGTTCCATCCATATGGAGCTGGAAAACAGAAGTCTGCTGTTACCGTTCTAACCCCTGGATCAGGAGCCTTAGGTAGAACACGGGGTTTTTGGCTTTAATGAACATTGTTCAAGTTTGGCATGGTTTTCTGAACTGAAGATTTGAAAAGGTCACAGAAGAATAAACTTTTTCCTTTCTGTTTCTAGGTAATGTGGATGAGGAACCAACTTCGGTCACTGGCCGGAAGGATTCTTTGAGCATTAACCTTGAGTTTGTGAAAGTCAGCCTGTCACGAATAAGGCGTTCAGGAGGTTCCTCATTTTTTGAGAGTCAGTCTGCGAGCAAAGCTACCAGCAAGATAGATACTACATTGATAAACATATCTGGTAAATGCTTGCTTCATTTTAATCCCATCTATTCAGCTAATTAGAGAAGTGCTGTTCCAGTGATAGACTTCACTCTCAGCAGCTTTTATAGATATTCCATGAGAGCCATCTACTTGTAGTGTGTAGTAAAATTTTTGCTCTTTTTGAGTGAAGTACGGATCAATACATTAATTTTCAATGGTACTTGGAATACCTGTTTGCGGATGTACCTTTTTAGCCTCCTGATTCATGTCATGTAACTAAACGGGCTTGCTCAAACACATCACTGGCATCAGTCCATGTGACTTAATGTGACCCTTGAATATTTTGAGATGGTAGTGGCTGTGGTTAGGATGGAGTTAACTTTCTTCATAGCAGCCCATATGGTGCTGTGCTTTGAATTTGTGGCTGAAACAGTATTGATAACACACCAGTGTTTTGGCTGTTGCTGAATAGCGGTTGCACAGCCTCAAGTCCTCCTCTCTTTCCCACTCTGCCCAGGGGGGGACACAGCTAGGACAGCTGACCCAAACTGATCAAAGGGATATTCCATAGCATATGATGTTGTGCCCAGTAATAAAAGCTCGGAGAAAGGAGGAGGAAGGGGGATATTGGCGGTTATGGCATTTGTCTTCCCAAGCAGCTGTTAGGTGTGCTGAGGCCCTGCTTTCCAGCAAACAGCTAAACATATGCCTGCCAATGGGAAGCAGTGAATAATTTTTTTTTTTCCTTCACTTGCATGCACAGCTTATGCTTCCCCATTAAACTGTTGCTACTTCAATCCACAAGTCTCCTTGTCTTCCTTCTATTTTCTCCCTTTCCCACAGGAGATTGGAATGCATGAGTAGCTGCGTGGACATTTGGCGGTCAGCCAGGGCCAAACCACAACGGAGATAAAGCCTGAATTGTTTGTCTTTAGTCAGCATTAAGTTACATGTTATTTTAGTTGTATTGCAGATATTTGTCAGGTATTATCAGAAGGAAGTGATTTCAAGTCATTATTTAGTAGTAATCTTAGTATGTCCACTTTATTATATGGTCTTAGCATGCAAAAAGAGGTTGGTTATTTTCCACCAACATTTATTTTTCTTCAGATATAAAATCCCACAGTATACATCAGTTTTGTACCTGAGAGACCAGAGGCTTTGAATAATATTGTCTGTTGAGCAGTATCTATGCCCTTCATTTTTTAGCCCTGTTTCTTGAGAACCCCAAAAGTCTGTATGACTGCAGTGCAGTAACATACGACCTCATAAATGGCAATGAGACAGAACGTGTAACGCTAATCTGTTCTCACTTACATAATTTACTCCTCACTGTCATGCATCATTACAGTTAAAATAGTGGTTTTGAAATTCTCAAACTCTAAATACGCCATTTCACTTCGGTGTGGCCATTGTGAATCTGTTTTATTGCTGGTAATAAAAAAGAGTGATGGTAATCCAAAAAAATGTATGTTTCTTAGAGCAATCAGTTGAAGGGGCTACAAATCACTAAGGGAAAAGTGTACATTGAGGGTTGGGCTTGGGGCTGGGTTTCTTTTCAGCTTGTTTGATGGAGTTCTGCTGTGTTTTCTCAATGTGTTACGCTGCACTAACTTCCTTGCTGAAGTTAGAAAGCAATCATAGTGTCTCTATGGTAGACCTTCAATAAGTCTCGACACACAGGAGTGAGCAACAAGGGAATGAACTTCAGCAGGCCATCCACTGCCCTAGTGTGAACGCTCTCTTATGTCACTGGTCCATCAGAACAGAAAGATGAACAAACTCAAGATTCTCATCGCTGATTCATCTCTTAATACATTTTATAACAGAGATAAACTAGTATAATAATAGAACTTTGTTAAATTTATTCCCAAGGTTGGTTAAGCTTTCAGAATAGAACTTTGTTAAATTTAGTCCCAAAGTTGGTTAAGCTTTCAGTTGGACCGAGTTTGGTAAACACTCACCACCCATTTTCATAGGCCTCTCTTCAGAAACAGGTATTTCGCAGCTCTTCCATTAACCAAATAGAACAAAATCTTTTACAGACACTCACGCTTTTTTCCTTTTTGATATGAGAACTAGAAATAGTCTAGTTTTCAAGCAATCTCCCCATAGGGGAAAAAAAAGCCCAAACAAAGTGCATTATGTAGCACAATTAAATTTGGTATTAACAGAGATGATAAACGGTGCTCATGAAAAATGACAGCTGAATCTCCTAGATCACAAGCTGCCTTCTTAGTGTTCTTCATGATTTTTTTTTCTATCTGACACTTGCTGTGTGTTATTATCTTAATTCTGCCTGCACTGCTGCCTGTCTAACTTGATGATGCAGTTCTGCAGTCTGTGCTCGGTTACTAGCTGTCAAATTTCACCACCTTGTAACTGGTGCCTATGAAGCTACAGAGAGAGCTGGACTCCTGAATACTCAAGGAAGCTGGAAGTAAAAGTGGGACTTAAAGAACTGTTATTTATTTTCCCCCACTGCACATGGAATCCTGACTTATGGGCAAACAAGCAGAATAGTTGTGATTAAACTGCCATTAAAGCCCTCAGATGAAGAGTCTGAACACAAGTAGGACCCAATATCAGTGTTATTCTCAGGTTCCATCTTGCCTTTATGAAATGTGTTTGTATCTAATACTGGATTTGGAGAAATGGCAGCACATCAGGAAAACTAGTTTTTTCATTACAGCAGAGACTATACTGCTAGATAAAGAGGTATCGGACTATATTGAACACTATTAATTAAATTTGGTTACCAAAACCTGTTACTACTGAGAGTTTACAGTTGTGTGTATATCCTTTTTCTTTTTCAGCTGTCTGTGATATAGGATCTGCTTCTTTTAAATACGATATGCGCCGACTGAGTGAGATTCTAGCCTTTCCAAGGGCTTGGTACAGGAGAAGCATTGCTAGGCGGCTTTTCCTAGGTGATCAAACAATAAATCTGCCAGGTAAGACATCGCTTCTTACAATGAAAAAACTTTTTGTACAAGGGATCGTAGTAGGAATTTTACAAACATTTATTAACTGTGTATAGATATAACTGTGAGTAGATATAAATGTATTGTAATTTACTCCATGTGCAGCCACTCTCATAAGATTAATAGAAATCCTAGAAAGAAGAAATGGAAAATTTCTGAAGTAGGTAATTGAATTATTTAAAGGCTTATATTACGGAAGACAGTAGAAAACCTTTAGTTATGATAAATGAAGTCTATTTTGACACTCTCCAAAGACTTCTTAGCATATGGGAGGATATTGTTAAAGAAAAATGAAATAGTTTTTCTGCCTTTAATATGTGCTGCTTTTTTTTTCTAGTAGCATCGGGTCCTGGAACACCTGATTCAATTGAAGGGGTAAGCCAGCATCTTTCTCCTGAATCGTCACGGAAAGCATATTGTAGGACATGGGAGCAGCCCTGCCAGTCTGCTTCGTTTACACATATGGCACAGTCACCTAATGTTTTTAGTGAACATAACGCAAGCAGCAGTATGTCACCTGGGACAGCATCTCATAGCTTAAAGTCTCCAGCTGTTACGAGATCCAGGAGCGTGTCTGACTCTTCAGTGCCTCAGAGAGGTTAGTAGACAATGATTTCTTCAGGTTTTTTAAGGTATTTCCATTGGTTCCATGAAAAATGCCATTACTGCTTTGTAGAAAGCAGCCATGAAATACTCTTTTTCCACTGTGCCTGGGAGTGGAGAGTCAGTGGCTTAGATAAAGGAAAATGTCTGAAATGGATGGATCAAAGTCATTTATTAGCATACTTTCTGTAAAATTACAGTTTCTTTTACTAGAGCAGGAGTTGTTTAGCTGGGATTTAGATGAGTTCTCCAGCTTAATTTGATTGCATTGTCATCTTGGCGCTCTATTCTCATCCAAGCAATTACACACTTTGCAGAAGGTCAGTATCACAGCTCACAGGTGAGGTCAGTTATTGCATTTCATCTGAGACTTTGGACTTGTACTAAGAGGTCTAAATAAGGGTATTTTCTGTCTAAGAAATAAAGTAACTTTTCATTTCTTATACTACAAATGTTATGGTATTGTATCTTATAGCAGTGTAGCACTGTCTGTGTGGAATATTTATAGCACTAGATATAGATAGGAGATTTAAAAGTATGATGCTTATTTTAATCTAGGAAAAATACCCATGAGAACAGAAAGGACAGGTATTTTGTCTATGTAGAATGCAAGCAAGATGTTATACAGGAACAATTTTTAGGAGAAGACACAGTTGGAGAAGGATTTATGGCTGGTAAAGTGGCCTGTGAATAGGAAAAGCAATTTTGCACAGGCTTATAAGAGTATTGCCAGGATGTTTGTGAAACGAGCAAGTAAAAACCCTAATCCTTGAAATTCTGAATTGGTGCTTTTGCAAATAACTGCTACCTGAATGTTCAAATACTAATAACTTGTTTTCTGAATACACTGTTGTTTTTAAACAATTAAATAATTTTAAATATGCTCTTGCATGAGTGACTGCAAATTCAAAATTGTTTCTATTAAAGATATTAGTAAAAATGACTGTGTAAAATAAGTCAATTTCTGTGATGATTAAAGCAATGCATATTGCAAATCCTCTAGTTCCCACTTACGCTTACTTGTAGTTTTATGACACTCCTTATATATGGTGTTAGTCTGTCCTTCTGTAATACGTACAATGTATATACTCTGCCAGTTTTTCCTAGCATGTGGAATAATTTAAATTTTTTTCTTTTTTGTTCAGATACTCTCTCAAAAACATCAACTCCATTTAATAAGTCAAATAAAGCTGGAAGCCAGCAAGGAACACCATGGGAAACACTGGTTGTATTTGCTATGAACCTAAAACAATTAAACGTTCAAATGAATATGAGCAATGTAATGGGCAATACTACGTAAGTATAAAACAAGACCAAGCATGTTTTAACAGACGGTGTTATTTTGGGGGCAAAAAACCATTTTCCCCACAGACGGGTAACAGCCTCTTGTCATCTAGTTTTTTAAATCCTAACTTTTTCAGTTTTGAACTGTGAAGCCCCTCATGAATACTGATAGATGCTTAATTCTGAAGTCACATATGCCTAAACCACATTATTTGCTGCTTTTACAGTAAATAATTTTCAGTTTCTCTTTTGACAGCCTGGAAAATTGTTGTCTATTTTCACCTCTGTTCTAGGTGGACTACCAGTGGTTTGAAAAGCCAGGGTCGTCTATCTGTGGGTAGTAGCAGAGATCGGGAAATTAGCATGTCTGTTGGTTTGGGAAGATCACAGTTGGACTCCAGAGGGGGAGTTGTTGGAGGTACCATAGATGTTAATACCCTGGAGATGGTGGGTAAGTTGGAAAGCTGGCTGGTATTAGTATATGCTCCAGACAATAAATGTGAAAAAGTGAAGAATATACACAGTACCTCGTTTTGTGAACCTGCTAGTGTAGAAAAACTTTGGATTCGTACTTGTGCATTCTGACTATGAAACACACTTTGAATTGAAGGCCTTCTGATCAGGGGCTGATTCAGTCTCAGCGTTGCTCTAAAATTACACTACCTAGTTGTGCAACCCTCCAGCCCCCTTCAGCTGTCTGGACCGATGGTAACTGAAAGGTTTGATAGCATTTCAGCTCCTCCCAGATTTTCAAAAGTGTTTACAGTTTGGGAAATGCAAAACTGGCTTTGGAAAGAGGCTGGGTGTTCTGGTGCTACACCAGAGTCATGACCTCCCCATGCATCTGGAAAAAAACAGGTGGATGGCATAAGGGCCTGTCAGCCTGACCTCCATACGAGGAAGATCATGGAGCGGTTCGTCTTGAGGGTGCTCACAGGGCATATGAAGGACAACCAAGGCATCAGGCCCAGCCAGCATGGGTTCATGAAAGGCAGGTCCTGCTTGACCAACCTGATCCCCTTCTATGACCAGGTGACCCGCCTGGTGGATGAGGGAAAGACTGTGGACGTTGTCTACCTGGACTTTAGTAAAGCCTTTGACAGCGTCTCCCCCAGCATTCTCCTGGAGAAACTGGTGGCTCGTGGCTTAGACACGTTTACTCTTCGCTGGGTAAAGAACTGGCTGGATGGCCGAGCCCAGAGAGTTGTGGTGAACGGCGTCGGCTAGCAAACAGTCACAAGCGGTGTTCCCCAGGGCTTGGTTCTGGGACCAGTCTTATTCAGTATCTTTATCGATGATCTGGACGAGGAGATCGAGTGCTCTGTCAGCAAGTTTGCAGATGACACCAAG